CAGGTAGGCCATGCCCAGAATTAAGAGCCTTGGCCCTTCTCCACCCATACAACAACCCTGCCAGGGAGGCCAAGCCCAAAATTAGGGTTGTTGTTTACCTTTGTTTTGTGAAGTTCCTCAGGGTTCAATACTGTCTCATATGTTGTTTAACATCTATATGAAGCCGCTGAGGGAGATCACCCGGAGTTTCAGGGTGCAGTGTCATCTGTATGCGGATGATGTCCAACTCTGTCACTCCTTTCCACCTGCTACTAAGGAGGCTGTTCAGGTCCTGAACCGGTGCTTGGCTGCTGTGGCGGTCTGAATGAGAGCGAACAAATTGAAATTGAATCCAGACAAGACAGAGGTCGTCCTGGTCCGTCGCAAGGCCGGACAGGGTATAGGGTTACAGCCTGGAACCCCAGGTCTCGTTGAGCCTGGAACCCCAGGTCTCAGCGGTGACCAGGGGAGCATTTGCAGTTAAAACTTGTGCGCCAGCTGCGCCCGTACCTTGAGAAGTCTGAATTGGCCACGGTAGTCTATGCTCTGGTTACATCCCATATAGACTACTGCAACGCTCTCTACGTGGGGTTGCCTTTGAAGACTGTCTGGAAGCTTCAAATGCTCCAACGCTCGGCAGCCAGGTTACTAACAGGAGCGGCACTCAGGGAGCATACAACTCCTCTGTTGCACCAGCTCCACTGGCTACCAGTTTGCTACCGGGCACAATTTAAAGTGCTGGCCTTAGCCTATAAAGCCCTAAACGGTTCTGGCCCAACTTACCCGTCCAAACAGATCTCCTCCTATGAACCAGCTAGGACGTTAAGATCGTCTAGGGAGGCCCTGCTCTTGGTCCCGCCTGCATCACAAGTACAGTTGGTGGGGATGAGAGACAGGGCCTTCTCAGTGGTGGCCCCTCGGCTGTGGAACGCCCTTCCCACAGAAATTAGATTGGCCCCCTCCCTTATTGGCATTTCGGAGGAAAGTGAAGACCTGGTTGTTTGAGCAGGCATTTGAATAGGCAGTGTAACTAATATAGAAATATGGAACATTTGGATGATGAGACTAGATCTTGATTTTAACTATGAGACGAGATGAGATGTTATGATGTTTATTGATTGTTATAATGTTATACTTTTGACTTGTTTCTAACTGTTTTTTTATCATGTTTAAGTACAGGGTTAGTCAAAATGAATAGGCCAATAAGAAAATTAATTTTAGACGAATGTATGTTTGTTGTTGTTGTTCATTCGTTCAGTCGTCTCCGACTCTTCGTGACCTCATGGACCAGCCCATGCCAGAGCTCCCTGTCGGCCGTCACCACCCCCAGTTCCTTCAAGGTCAATCCAGTCACTTCCAGGATACCATCCATTCATCTAGCCCTTGGTCGGCCCCTCTTCCTTTTTCCTTGCATTTCCCCCAGCATCATTGTCTTCTCCTCATGATGTGGCCAAAGTACTTCAACTTTGTCTCTAGTATCCTTCCCTCCAATGAGCAGTCGGGCTTTATTTCCTGGAGGATGGACTGGTTGGATCTTCTCGCAGTCCAAGGCACTCTCAGAACTTTCCTCCAGCACCACAGTTCAAAAGCATCTATCTTCCTTCGCTCAGCCTTCCCTAAGGTCCAGCTCTCACATCCGTAGGTTACTACAGGGAATACCATGGCTTTGACTAGGCAGATCTTTGTTGCCAGTGTGATGTCTCTACTCTTTACTATTTTATCGAGATTGGACATTGCTCTCCTCCCAAGAAGTAAGCGTCTCCTGATTTCCTGGCTACAGTCTGCATCTGCAGTAATCTTTGCACCTAGAAATACAAAGTCTGTCACGGCCTCCATGTTTTCTCCTTCTATTTCCCAGTTGTCAATCATTCTTGTTGCCATAATCTTGGGTTTTTTTATGTTTAGCTGCAACCCAACTTTTTCACTTTCTTCTTTAACCTTGATTAGAAGGCTCCACAGCTCCTGCTTGCTTTCAGCCATCAAAGTGGTGTCATCTGCATATCTAAGGTTGTTAATGTTTCTTCTAGCAATTTTCACCCCAGCCTTGCATTCATCAAGCCCCGCACATCGCATGATGTGTTCTGCATACAAGTTAAAAAGGTTGGGTGAGAGGATGCAGCCTTGCCGTACGCCTTTCCCAATCTTGAACCCGTCTGTTGTTCCGTGGTCAGTTCTGACTGTTGCTACTTGGTCCTTGTACAGATTCCTCAGGAGAGAGACAAGGTGGCTTGGGATGCCCATCCCACTAAGAACTTGCCACAATTTATTATGATCCACACAGTCAAAGGCTTTAGAATAGTCAAGGAAGCAGAAGTAGATGTTTTTCTGAAACTCCCTGCCTTTCTCCATTATCCAGCGGATATTGGCAATTTGGTCTCTCGTTCCTCTACCTTTTCTAAACCCAGCTTGAACATCTGGCAACTCTCGCTCCATGTATTGCTGGAGTCTTCCTTGCAGGATCTTGAGCATTACCTTACTGGCATTAGAAATAAGGGCCACTGTACGGAAGTTTGAGCAGTCTTTCGCATTTCCCTTTTTTGGTATGGGGATATAAGTTGATTTTTTCCAGTCTGATGGCCATTCTTGTGTTTTCCATATTTGCTGGCAAATGGCATGCATCACCGTGACAGCATCATCTTTTAAGATTTTAAACAGTTCAGCTGGGATCCCGTCGTCTCCTGCTGCCTTGTTGTTAGCAATGCTTCTTAAGGCCCATTCAACCTCGCTCCTCAGGATGTCTGGTTCTAATTCACTCACCACACCGTCAAAACTATCCTCGATATTATCCTTTCTATACAGATCTTCTGTATAGTCTCGCCACCTTCTCTTGATCTCTTCAGTTTCAGGTCCCTGTGCTAGGTCCCTGCCATCTTTGTTTCTTAACATGCCAATTTTTGCCTGAAATTTACCTCCAATGTTTCTAATTTTCTGGAAGAGGTCTCTTGTCCTTCCTATTCTGTTGTCTTCTTCCACTTCCATGCATTGCTTGTTTAAAAATAGTTCCTTATCTCTTCTGGCTAACCTCTGGAATTGCGCATTTAACTGGGCATATCTCCCCTATCCCTTTTTGCTTTCCTCCTTTCTTGGGCTACTTCCAGTGTCTCAGCAGACAACCATTTTGCCTTGTGGGTTTTCTTTTTCTTTGGGACATACTTTGTTGCCGCCTCCTGAACAATGTCGTGGGCTTCTGTCCATAGTTCTTCTGGGACTCTATTTACTAAATCTAGTCCTTTAAATCTGTTCTTCACTTCCACTGCATATTCACTAGGAATGTTAGTGAGATCATATCTAACTGGTCTGTGTGTTTTCCCTGATCTCTTTAGTCTGTTTCTAAATTGAACAATAGAAGTTTGTGATCTGAACTACACTCAGCCCCAGGTCTTGTTTTCACCTACTGGATGGATGTCTGCCACCTTTGACTGCAAAGGATGTAGTCAATCTGATTTCTGTTGTGACTCATCTGGTGAGGTCCATGTATAAAGCCGTCTTTTAGGTTGTTGGAAGAGAGTATTCGTTATACACAGCGCGTTTTCCTGGCAAAATTCTATCAGCCTGCGTCCCGCTTCATTTTGTTCTCCCAGACCATGCTTGCCTGTGATCCCTGTTGTCATTTGACTTCCCACCTTGGCATTCCAGTCTCCTGTAATGAAAATAATGTCTCTTTTTGGTGTATCCAGTAGGTCCTGCAGATCCTCATAGAACTGATCTACTTCTGCTTCTTCAGCAGCTGTGGTTGGGGCGTATATTTGGATCACTGTAATGTTGAAAGGCTTTCCTTGCACTCGAATTGAGATAATTCTGTCATTTTTTGGGTTGTATCCAAGCACCGCTTTAGCGAATTTCTTATTAATTATGAAGGCTACTCCATTTCTTCGATGTTCCTCTTGTCCGCAGTAGTAGATCTGGTGGTCATCTGATGTGAAGTGGCCCATTCCAGTCCATTTCAGTTCGCTGACCCCCAGAATGTCTATCTTTAGTCTTGACATCTCACCAATAACAACATCCAATTTGCCCTGGCTCATAGATCTTACATTCCAGGTTCCTATGGTGTGTTGATCTTTAGAGCATCGGATTCGTCGTTCACCTCCAGTAACGTCGGCCGCTAGCCTTCCTTTCGGCTTTGAGCTAGCTGCGTCATCACATCTGGGGCTAGTTGAACTTATCCTCTGCTCCTCCCCAGTAGCATTTTGGCCATCTTCCGACCTGGGAGTCCCATCTTCCAATGGCATACTGACATATCTCTGGTTGTACTGGTCCATTTAGTTTTCTTGGCAAGGATACTGGAGTGGTTTGCCATTGCCTTCCCCAGGGATCACGCTTGGTCTGACCTCTCTGCCACAACCGTCCCGTCTTGGGTGGCCCTTCACGGTTTCGCTCATGACATCATTGAGGTGCTCAAGCTCCAGCGCCCCGACAAGGCGGTGAATTTTAGACGAATGTATGTTTACTGTAACCAAACCACAGCTACGTAGCGACAGATAAACTATCAAAGTTTTTTTTGAGCAACACACATGTACGTTAATGCCGCTAGGCGTCGCTAGGGGTCGCTGTTTTCAAAATGGCGGAATCAAGCAAAGAGAAGGCGTTTTGTGTGATGACATTTGCTAAAACAATGTCAGTAATTACGGTCCAGCGAGAATTTCAAGGGTTAGGGTTAGGGTTAGGGTTAGGGATAGGGTTAGGGATAGGGTTAGGGTTAGGGATAGGGTTAGGGTTAGGGTTAGGGATAGGGTTAGGGTTAGGGACCTCAACGAACACCTTCCCAGACGTTGCTGCATTCGATGCCATTACGTCGGATGTGCTGCAACGGATGTGGAATGAACTGGACTATTGCTTGGACATCTGCCGTGTCACACGGGGCGCCCATATCGAACATCTCTGAAGGTGAGACAAAACTTTGATAGTTTATCTGTCGCTACGTAGCTGTGGTTTGGTTACAGTAAACATACATTTGTCTAAAATTAATTTTCTTATTGGCCTATTCATTTTGACTAACCCTGTATTGTATTTACTTTGTTAACCTCTCTGAGTCTCCCTGAGGGCTGAGAAGAGCGGTTTACAAATATAGTAAATAAATAAATATAGTAAATGAGAGAACGAGGGATCGCCTAAGTGCAACCTTATTTTTTTCTATTCTTGATGGCAGTCAACTATATACATAACTTATTTAGTTAAAATATAATAATAGCTTAGCAATATACATGTAAATATTTACAATTATCATTCATGTAGGATCTACACATAATAAATGTTATATAAATGTATCAATCATCTTGAAGTTATATATTTTTCTACTTTAATTCAGAAATATTAACTCATCAATTTTCCAAAACTTTTCCTGCTCTTTGAAATAAAAGTTATATAGTTGATACAAATGCATTATCTCGTAACAGTTTTAGTTCGCAAATCCTATTGCAGTCATCTTCTGATTTTTTTAAATATAAAATACATAGATTCCATTCTTCTTGCAGTTTTTCTGTATTATTGTAGAATTAGTCAATTTGTCAATTTCAGCCATTTAAAAAAATGCAATCAGTTCCTCTGGTGTTAGTGGTCTTTGTTTTCCCATAGTTTTGCATATTCAATTCTTGCTGCTGTAGTCACAGAATCAGAGAGTTGGAAGAGACCTCATGGGCCATCCAGTCCAACCCCATTCTGCCAAGAAGCAGGAAAATCGCATTCGAATCACCCCTGACAGATGGCCATCCAGCCTCTGTTTAAAAGCTTCCAAAGAAGGAGCCTCTACCACACTCCGGGGCAGAGAGTTCAACTGCTGAACAGCTCTCACAGTCAGGAAGTTCTTCCTAACGTTCAGACGGAATCTCCTTTCTTATAGTTTGAAGCCATGACTCCATTGCGTCCTAGTCTCTAGGGCAGCAGAAAATAAGCTTGCTCCCTCCTTCCTAAGAGTTCCCCTCAAGGCTATGATATCTTCTTTCAACCTTCTCTTCTTCAGGCTAAACATGCGCAGTTCTTTAAGCCGCTCCTCATAGGGCTTGTTCTCCAGATCCTTGATCATTTGTCGCCCTCCTTTGGACACATTCCAGCTTGTCAACATCTCCCTTCAATTGTGGTGCCCAGAACTGGACACAGTATTCCAAGTGTGGTCTAACAAAGGCAGAATAGATCACGGGGAGCATGACTTCCCTGGATCTGGACACTAGGCTCCTATTGATGCAGGCCAAAATCCCATTGACTTTCTTTTTGTGAGAACACCGAGGCAAAGAAGGCATTAAGTAGTTCTGTCTTTTCCCTATCCCCTGTCAGCATTGCCCCATCTTATTCTCAAAGAGTCCCTATTACCTCCTTGTTCTTGCTTTTTCTACTGACATAAAAACAGAAGCCCTTTTAATTGTTTTTAATGTCCCTGGCAAGCCTGAGCTCGTTTTGTGCTTTACCCCTGCAAACCTTTTCCCTACCGAAGTTGGCTATTTGTTTGAATTCTTCTTTGGTGATTTCTCCCTTTTTCCACTTCTTGTGCATGTCTCTTTTGAGTCTGAGCACAGTTAGAAGTTCTTTGGACATCCATTTTGGCTTCTTTGCACTTGTCCTATTTTTTCTCTTTGTTGGCATTGTTTGGAATTGCGCCTTGAGTATTTCACTCTTGAGTATTTCACTCCATCCGTAACTCCTCATGAAAGAATCTTCATGTAAAAGAAGTTTGTTTCCTAGTGATTTGAGGTTTGCTTGTCTAAAATTCCCAATTAAAAAGGTTCTGGTTTCAGGATTACTTAGTTTTTCTTACTTTGTTTCAATAAAATATTCACTTTTATCTAGAAGGCTTTAGCTTTTGGGCAAGTTCAGCACATAGGATAAAAGGTTCCAGTCATTTCTTTACATTTCCAGCATATCAGCCATTAAAAAAAATTGTACTCCATTCCTCTGGTGTTGGTGTTCTTTGTTTTTTCCATAGTTTTGCATATTCATTTCTTGCTGCTGTAGTCATGTACAGGAAGGTTCTTTCCTGCAGTTTTGGGATTTGCTTGTCTAAAAGTCCCAATTAAAAATGTTCTGGATTCAGTGTTACTTAGTTTTTTAAATTTTGTTTTCAATGTTGGTGTGCACGTTTATCTAGAAGGCTTTAGACTTTGGGCAAGTTCAGCACATATGATAAAAGGTTCCAGTCATTTCTTTATATTTCCAGCATAAATTCAATTTTTTTAATTTATCTTCTACTATTTTTCTCAAGTTACGTGACATCTGTGAATCATTTTGTAAAACTTTTCTTTAACAGAGTAACTTCTTGTAAATTGTAAGCTATTCTTCCAAAGTTCCTCCCATTCTTCTACATTTATCTATTTCAACCCAACATTATTTCCCAACATTATGCTGTCATTTACATTTGTTAGAGTTGCCTTTGTACATCTTAGAGAGTCTCTCTTGGCATCATTTTACTAGAATGTGAGTTTTACTTGGCTGCAGATGACCCTTCCAAGTGAAACGCTTTCAACACTCAAGGCATCCCAGTGTGCGTTCTATTATGTTTTAGAAGATTTCTACTTTCAGAGAAACTTTTTCCACACTCCAGGCATTTATAGGGTTTCTCCCCAGTGTGAGTTCGTTGGTGTCTACGTAGGTCTCCACTGCCAGTGAAGTTCTTTCCACACTCCAGGCATTGATAGGGTTTCTCCCCAGTGTGAGTTCGTTGGTGTCTACGTAGGTCTCCATTGCCAGTGAAGTTCTTTCCACACTCCAGGCATTTATAGGGTTTCTCCCCAGTGTGGATCCTTTCATGTCGCTGCAGCTGATGTCTCAAAGTGAAACTCATTCCACACTCCAGGCATTCATAGGGTTTCTCCCCAGTGTGAGTCCTTTGATGTGAATGCAGTTGTCCACGTTGGGTGAAGTTCTTTCCACATTCCAGACATTTATAGGGTTTCTCCCCAGTGTGAATTCTGTGGTGAGACCGCAGATTCCCATGGCAAGTGAATCTCTGTCCACACTTCAGGCATTTATAGGGTTTCTCCCCAGTGTGAGTTTGTTGGTGTTTTTGTAGATTTCCACTATGAGTAAATCTCTTTCCACATTCCAGGCATTTATAGGATTTATCACCAGTGTGACTCCTTTCATGTCGCTGCAGATTATGTCTCAAAGTGAAACTCTTTCCACACTCCAGGCATTCATAGGGTTTCTCCCCAGTGTGACTCCTTTCATGTCGCTGCAGCTGATGTCTCAAGGTGAAACTCTTTCCACACTCCAGGCATTCATAGGGTTTCTCCCCAGTGTGAGTCCTTTGATGTGAATGTAGATGTCCACTTTGGGTGAAGTTCATTCCACATTCCAGACATTTATAGGGTTTCTCCCCAGTGTGAGTTCTGTGGTGAGACTGCAGACTCCCATACCGAGTGAATCTCTTTCCACACTCCAGGCATTCATAGGGATTCTCCCCAGTGTGAGTTAGTTGGTGGTTATGTAGACTTCCACTATAAGTGAAACTTTTTCCACACACCAGGCATTCATAGGGTTTCTCCCCAGTGTGAGTCCTTTCATGTTGCTGCAGATTATCCTTCCGAGTTAAACCTAGTCCACATTCTAGGCATGTGTAGGGTTTCTCCCCAGTGTGAGTCCTTTGATGTAAATGTAGATGTCCACTTTGGGTGAAATTCTTTCCACATTCCAGACATTTATAGGGTTTCTCCCCAGTGTGAGTCCTTCGATGTGGCTGCAGACTTTGATTGTGTTTGAAGCTCTTTCCACACTCCAGGCATTTATAGGGTTTCTCCTGCATGTTGACAGTGGTATGTATTTTTAACTGCAATATGGACATTTCTGTCTTCTTTTTCCCTTTCTGATGCAAAGTCTGTTCAACAAGATCAGCACCTTGAGAGGATGTCCTTTTTCATACAGGACCCTTTTCCTTACAGCTTCTTTGGTTTCCAGATTCCACAATGTCTACTAGATGCTGCTTTGATTGTCATCACAGCAGAGATATTGCCACAGAATCCTTATGTTCCTGGCCAAGAAGGAAAGAGCGAAATATTAGACATGAAGCCAAAAAACTCCGTTCCCTCCTTTCTCTTCATAAAAGTTTGCTGCTACCAAATTTCCTGGTATTCCCAAATGAATCCTCTGCTCAGCCAGGAATCCGCCTCCGATCTGGATACTTCAGATCCAGATTTAAACATATGGAGGTATTCACAACATTTGTCTCTGCTGAACCAATTCCCCTCTCTGCCTTTCCCTCCCTCCGTTGTGCCCAGGATGGGATGCCAAGGCAGGAAAGCCTCCTTCCTTCCTTCCTTCCTTCCTTCCTTCCTTCCTTCCTTCCTTCCTTCCTTCCTTCCCAGCTTGTTCTCCTCAGCCCAATCATCCCTCTTCTCCTTTGCTTCCGTCCAGGGGACATTTCCCAACAACTCAGGAATTAAAAGGAATGAAGTCCTGGCCTAAGGAAGAACGGGCATCTCCTCTGACCACTCCTCCCACAGAAGCTTCCTCTCAAATGCTCTCCCGTACGTGGGGGGACAGAGAGAAAAGGGAGAAGCAAATGTGCTAATTTCCCCGCATACATTGAATAAAAACAAGGGCCTACAAATTCGGCCTCTCAAAAGGTAATCCTAAGAAAACTGGGGTGGGGGTCTTGAAGAGAAAAGTCTTTCCTGTGATGCCAAAATTGAGATAACCACTTAAGGAGTGATTTGGATCCCGTAACCAAAGCGCCTGCTAACCTGTACGGTTCTGTTCTGTGCTTTAAAAATGTTTAAAACTATCACCTCACCCGCCGCATGTGAGGTTCACTCAGTGATACGGTTTTTGTCAGCAAGGAACCTGCCTGCTGCTGAAATTCATCGACAGATTTGTGAAGTGTACAGTGATACTGTTATGAGTGAAAGCAAAGTGCGTAAGTGGGTACGACAATTCAAAGATGGCCGTGACAACGTCCACGATGAGGACCGCTCAGGTCTCCCTTTTTTGATTACAGACGATTTGGTGGGAGGAGTGTGATGAAGCTAAATATTTGACGGAAGTTAAACTAAACCAATGAGTATTTACATTAATTTTATGAACAGTATGTAATTTTGAAATTGTATTAGTATGCACTGCATAACACAGTGGTATACTAATATATTACTAAGTATGTAATTTATTAGATCCTATATGGTTGGAGATGGAATGAATATTTGAGAAAATTGTAAAAAAACAAACAAACAAAAAACAAGTATCAAGGAGCCCTGTTGAGAATAATTCTGGAATGATGGGAATCTTCTCAGTTCCAAATTTGCCAATAGTTGTTTTACACAAAAATACAGCATTATCCTCATGGGAAACATCATTATCTCAAAAAGAAAATCACATGTGATTGATTTTCAAAGTAACCTTTTCTGCACAAAAGATACAATTTTTCTTTGCTGTTTTCTGTACAAAACAACCATGTATTTTTTTCATAGAATAGATCTCAAATTACAAATTGACTTTAAAAGCGATGTATTTTTGAAGACTTTACTCTAGAGGCAAGAAAACTGCTGAAATTATTTTCCTTTTCAAGAAGGGACTTTCCACATCAACGAAGTTGGTGGGGAGAGCGATTTGCCCCTCCCCCC